GAGGAATCCAAGGAGAGGTGGTGCCTCTAGTCCCTTCCTCTCTGCATCCCCCTCCCGTGTTTCTCCAGCCATCAGGAGGACACCAAGAAAAAGACCCACGAGGCCCAGACTGAGGGCCCCTGTGTGTACAGTCCCTTTGAGGTCCCCTTGTACCAGGGAGGGTCCTGAGTGCACACGGCCATCCTCTGTCCACTTTGCAGCTCCCCATATATCTCATCTGGGAGCTGTCTCAGGGGTGTCATGTCTTCTGGGTCCCTCGAGGCCGTGCTTTTTCCAGGTTCCCACCATATGGCCCCTGTCTCCCTGTGTTTCTTGCAGATAATATGGACAAGGTGATAAGCAGATGTCCCTGGGCTATTTGGGGAATGGGGACCAGCTCCCTGTCAGGGCAGCTGTGCTCCCTGTTTTCATCTTATGTCCAGGTGTTACTTTTTCCAGCCCCCGAGGGTCATAGTCCCCAGGGGGCTGTTTTTTGGGCTTTGTTCTGCGCTCTGTGGCCTCACCTTGCCCCTTTGAGCCAATTTTTTCTTCTAACATTCATGGCCTGGTAAGTTTAAAATAGGAGACAGTCAGAATCATTTCCCCCACAGCCAGGTTGTTTGAGGAAGGAAAAAAGCAGAAAGTTTTCAGTTTCTGCAAAGACAGAGACAGTGCAGGGCACAGTGAGAGTCTGGGGTGTCCCGGAGACCCAAGTGTTTCTGCCATTTCCGCACTTCCGTGTGTCTGGTCAGTGAGTGGTGGTGACTCATCCTTGAACCTAACGGCACTGTCAGTCGGCGCCTCAGGCCTGGGCAGATGGGACGGTTCATCCCCTGCCCTGCAGCAAGAGGCCCTGTCAGAGGCGCCTACAGCACGGGCAGTGCAGGTCTGTGGTCGCTCCTGCTCTCACCTGTGGCATCTCCTGTAGAGGGACTGTCAGTTCTGGTTCCCTGTAGGCAGGAATGGTTTCACTGGGACAATGGCCAGAAAAAGGGCATGAAAATCACCTGTTAATTTCTCAAAATTCCTGCTTTAAATGTTGATGTCCATCAACATAATTTCAGTTGGAGAATCTTAATAGGATGTCCTCCAATACTGATGTTGTAAGGGACGTTGAATGGAACAGGAACACAAGTTTAGAGCTTCCTTTCTCAGAGGATCCATGTGGGAGATGGTGCCTGTGGCAGTGGCAATACCCAGGTGCAGAGGGTGCAGAGAGGCAGCCTCAGGCTGAGGGGTCTGAAGAAACCCCCTACTCCACAAGGAGAAGGAGAAGATCCCCTGTGGGCAGCAATGGCAGTGGCCTGGGTGGAAGCCCTATTAGGAACGGGACAGGAAGGGCTTGCAACCCCACTAAGCAGCAGCCCTGGGGTGGAACTGCATTTCCAGGGGTGAGTGGACAGTCAGGAGCAAGCACAGCCCATATGCAAGTTATGGGGAGGGGAGGCTGGGCCTCCTTGAGCAAGGGAATCACCAGCATCAGGTCAGGTGCAGACTCCATGGCAGCCACATATTTCCATGCTGGGCCTGTGAGCCTCAGGGCTTCCTGATGGGATCTCCAGTTAGGAGCTGTGTGCTCAGAGCTGGGAGGGGAGAAACGCTGAGCTGCAGGTGGAGGGCAGAACCCACAGTGTGCAGGGTCTGCCCTGGTGTGCAGGTGCCTCCGCAGATGAGGAGGTCCTGGGGTCTGAGGGGTAGAAGGACTGTGTGTGTGACCCAGCCCAGGACTGGAGGACATGGAGACACGGCCAGGGCCTCTCTTGGGGAGGCCTCCCACTGTGTCAGGGCTGGTCAGGCGTGAGAGGAGGAGGAAAGGGCACTGAGTTTCCTCCTGGGTCTTGTTGCTGACTCCTGGGGTCCTTTCACTCATTGCCGGGGTGGGTGCTGGGCACAGGGCAGGTGCTGATGCTGATGGAGTCACGGGAGGGGACTGGCAGGGGCTGGGAAAAGTGTCATGGGAGGGAGAAAAAAGTGGGGGATGTCGTCTTCCCTCAGAGAAAGGGTGAATCTGATTTTGGAGTGACTGAGGAGGGAGAAGTCCTCAGGGAATAAAAGCAGCGCCCTGCACCCAGTGGAACATTTACTGTTTCTTTCTTTTCTCCAGAGCTGATGAGCCTACAAGGCCCAGATCAACACCTGGCTGGGACAGGAGACCACCAGGGCAGTGCACAGCTGAGATCTCAGTCTCTGGTGTCAGCTCCTGGGTCCGCTGGCTCCACTGAGGGCAGCTAGACTCTGCAGCCAGGCGGTCTGGATTCAGCTCCTTGCCTATGTCTCACCAGCACGTTCTCTCTTGGTGCCTCAGTTTCCTCATCCATGACATGGGGAAACTATGAGCATTTATTTCTTGTGGTTGGATGAATGAAAAGGGTTAATATATATGAGGTGCTTGCAGCTGTGCCATATTATTTTTGTTCTTTTATTATATTTGATATATTACATATGCAGTAATTGTATTATTATAGGTGACCTTTATGAGTGAAGGTCCTGCTTATGGCTCCTTCTGGGGAGCCCAGAACCAGCTTTCCTCGCACCTTGAGGTCCTGTCATCTCTGTCACACTCTCCTGCATTACCCCATTCTATTCTGTCTTCATATTTTATACTATAGATATTTAGCTCTTAAATAGAAATTTCCGGTCTGCGTTTTATTTCAAGTGTCTGGGAAGGGACAGAGTGTGAGGT